CCCTCCAAATTTAAGGGGGAAAATATTTCATAAATGTCCCTCTTACTAAGTGGGACTGACCTTGAATTTAAGGGAGACGCCTTATCGCTTACTTTAAGAGGGGTGGTGTCTCACTTAATTAAGAGGGAGCATCCCCATTTAATATTAAGAGGGCTGTCGCCCCCCTTAAAGTTAAGTGGGAAAAAATCGAAGAAATGTCCCTCTTACTAAGTGGGACCGTGCTTAGAGTGTTGCGCTGGGAACCTCCTGGGTTCGATCCCCGCCGCCCCCGCCCGCTTCGATCTGGATGAGTTTCGTACCGGCGCGCGTTCGTGTGATCACTACTGCGTGATGCACGTTAAAAACCCCAGGTTAGCGGTTGTACCGCACTGGCTAAATTTCTCATCTACAGCTAAGAGACCGATTACCCGTTGAGGCGCATCTCCATCAAGGCTGTATAAACATAAAGAGCAAGCCAATTTTTTTTGGGCGAGAGGCCTCTAAGAACTTCGGACGAGACCGAGACGCAGGCACTGGCAGGCAAGTGGGTGGCGACCGGATCTAGGATATCGCGGAACGCGAGGCCTCAGGGCCTTCTTTGTGTTTAGCGTTGGGCATAACGTGCTTTTGTAAATATTTGTGTAATGTCGGGTGTACTTGTAGTTTAGATTGAGTGTTTTGTAGAGTTGTTTTATTGTACGAATAAACGGGGAGCGGAATCCCGCTCCCGTGAAAGAACCAGGCTGGACTCGGTTTGTTGACGGACCACGTGGGAAATGGCGAATCGGCGGCGGTACGCGATTTTCTACAAATGGCGCATCAACGTTGGGGCAGGCGAGCCGGACCTCTTGGCGAATATGTGCTGCCGCCTAGACACTCCACTGGGGTCGAGGCTAAGTGGCGAGAAAACAACGTGCGCGCGAGGCCTCTCTCACCCGTTGCACTCCCAAAACGTCAGCTACATCCTGTTCACCCATTGAGACGCTTTGACCTAAATACGGCTCCCCCAAACTCGCCTTTGTCCCCACGTGCGTAATCTTCCGCCCCGAAGTCGACACAACGAAACCATCTTCCCTCTCTGCTCGGCCAGAAGGAAGAGAGAGAGGGTACTGAAACCAGTTACTCTCGAACCGATGTTTCTGCAAAAGGTCCATTACGGTTGCAACGTCCGTCGACGACACTGCGTGGAAGTTCACGCGGGGCGGTCCCCCTGGTTGGCGAGTTTATACCGCGGCACTGCGAAAGTGGGAAGGGTACGTCCAAACAACTGTTCGAAATGGCGAAGGGTAATTTCGCCCTCACGGATTTAATGTTTTTGGCCGACGTCGCTACGTCCACGGGGCTGGCGGAGCGGAACGGCGCGGCGATGACCGCAGCGCTGAGTCCGGACACGCCGACGGTAGCGCCGGTCGTGTCTATGCCGCAAAGCACGGAGATGTCCCGTGAATCCACGGCGTTGGTTGCGGCGTTCGCTCAGGCCTTACAGAGCATGCAGAGGCAAACGCCGCCGCCAAAAACCCTCATCCGCATTCCGGTGCCGGGGTACAGCGGACACAGCGATCGAGCTCTGAGCGCGACCGACTTCTTGCTGGAAATCCAGCGATATCGGAAGGCTACCGGCCTGACCGAAAAGGACACGCTAGGCAGGGTTCTGTCGGTGGCTCTTGTTGGGCTAGATGGTAGCTCATTTCTTCTATTTCTTGCTCTGCCGTACTCGCCTGCCATCATGATAGTCCCAGGGTAGCGAGCGGCTCTCTTCATATCATGCCGTTGCTTTTCCGTGTAAGTACTTTACTCACAGGCACCTGACCGTCGAATGCAACCAACTTGAAAGGAAACTTTCTGTTCCCCAAGGTTGACGCCTGGGCTAGTTGGTTTTTCATGGTTAAAATAAAAGAAACAGCGCAAAGATACGGACATGACGAGAAGGTAGACTAACATCAGCGCTGACTTACAACTGAAGTTAACAGACCGAACTCACTAGCCAGTTTGACTACGCCACCACTGCCGCTATGCATCGAGGGAGCTTTAGTCCCTGCACGTGCGACAACCTCGGTGAAGCTCTGCGCGTGTGGAGCATGAGGCGGCACGAGCCGTCTTGTGCACTGCTGCCTGCCTCCTGCGAACTAAAGTTATGGCGGCCTCACGCATGCGCCGAACGCTTGGTGAGATCGGTCTATCTGTGCTAAGATGGAGTGTAAATACCACCACGGATACCACTCACCGCTATCGCAACAAATTGCGGCTTGTATACCATGACCGTCTTAGCTATTTCAACAAGTTGTTGCTTAGTAGGATAAGTCTGCTGGTTTTACGTAAAGCTTCCAAATAAGGGCTCAAAGGTGGCACAGTGCAGGGTAGTGAATAGGACTTGCGTAGAGATTATACTTACTGACTGTCGAAGTATCTCCAACAGATACATCTATTCAGTGATTCTTTTATTATGCCAATGGTTTGTTTGGAGTGATTACTCCGGCTTCCCGAAAATGGTGTCGAGTTTTGATATAAACCCATTTCGAGTGTCTTCTTTCTGCCTGGAAGATATGGAATCTCTGCACAATAGCGGACACAAATGACACGGCGAAACCGATGCTAGAGGAGCCGACGGGGCCAAACACGCAGTGGCAAAAAGCGCAACGTCAAGGTCCACGTCGCCTGTCGGTGAGTATAATTGCGCTTGATTGGTTTCAACCAAGCGCAAGAATGCACCGTGACCTTGCGCTTTTAGTATGTGCGTTTCTGCTCGTGTCTTAAGGCCCGTTCACACTCTTGCGACTGAGAGCGACCAGACCGTTTTTTAAGCTTTTTGAGACTTCTTAGAACCGGATGCGAGGCAGCGGGGCTGGTCCTAAGAGATCGCAAGAGGCTTAAAAACCGGTCTGGTCTCTCTCGGTCGTACTCGGTTGCAAGAGTGTGAACGGGACTTTATAGTTTAAGATTTGTACGTTCCGCGGGCTCCGCAACTGAACGGCGGTTCCAACCTTCAGACAATCGTCACTTTTTATTTTGTTGAAAGGGGTTTAGGCCAACACCTTCTAGAATGACGAAGGCATCCGGACCCCCCCCCCCCCCCCCCCCCCTTTCATCTTCCAATCCCCTCTTCTTTCAGGGAACGTCATCACAGTCGGATGGCGCCAACTCAGCAAATGCCGAGCGTCCTTCGACGCGTTGATAGGATACGAGACCCAGCTGACCACTGACGCAGCACTCGTGTCCAATCTGTGTCTTCGCTCGATCTCGCTATGATGACGTCAAGATTCTAGTGCACAGGCTGTGGGATCGGTGGCCGAGTGGTCTAGCGCACACCAGCTCGGAGCACGTGAAGCGAAAGCTCGCGCTGCAGAACCCAGGGATCCTGGGTCTAATCCCCACCCCTGCCCGTTTCGATCTGGATGAGCATCGTGCCGGCGTGCGGCCGTATATCACTACTGCGTGGTGCACGTTAAAGGGGTATTCACACGAGGGAGAAATCCCGGGGATTTCTCCCCGGCACGCGCGCATCACGAGGTGAAAACGCGAGGCTTTTGCACATCGCAAAGCCTGTCGTTTTCGTCGTGAGATGCGCGTGCCGGGGAGAAATCCCCGGGATTTCTCCCTCGTGTGAATACCCCTTAAAGGGGTATTCACACGAGGGAGAAATCCCGGGGATTTCTCCCCGGCACGCGCATCCCAAGGGGTATTCACACGAGGGAGAAATCCCGGGGATTTCTCCCCGGCACGCGCATCTCACGACGAAAACGACAGGCTTTGCGATGTGCAAAAGCCTCGCGTTTTCATCTCGTGATGCGCGCGTGCCGGGGAGAAATCCCCGGGATTTCTCCCTCGTGTGAATACCCCTTAAGGGGTATTCACACGAGGGAGAAATCCCGGGGATTTCTCCCCGGCACGCGCGCATCACGAGATGAAAACGCGAGGCTTTTGCACATCGCAAAGCCTGACGTTTTCGTCGTGGGATGCGCGTGCCGGGGAGAAATCCCCGGGATTTCTCCCCCGTGTGAATACCCCTTTAAAGACCCAGGTCAGCGGTTGTACTGCACTGGGTAAATTACTCATCTACAGCTGAGGAACAAGTCGCTCGTTGAAGGAAGATTGGTTGTGGGTATGTTTATACAAACACAATTACAGCCATTTTTTTAGTGCACAGGCTTCGATTCTTTTAGGTGATGTTGTCTATGCACATGCTTGACGAAGAAGATAACCTTGTAAAGGTTATCTTCTTCGTCAAAGCCTGCAACCGCGGCAAAGCCTGCGGTTGCAGGTTTTGCCGCGGAGTGCATACGCTAAGGCGAGCTAGAGCATGAAGATACTTCGTCGTTCAAGTTACGGCATAGTCGCGCCAGTCTACCAAACAGCTTTAAATATTTTCGGACATAATTAACACGGCCTTTTGGTAACCCTGGCATTCTTCGCAGCAGTACCGCTTATTTACTAAACTTGTCTGTTGCTGTTGGTTGGTGAAACTCGAAAAAAAAAAAAGTTGTTAACAACATGTATTTGGCGTGTTTGCAACCAGTACTCGTTGCATGTTAGTGCAGAGTATAAATCCATTAGCGCAAGTGGGCGACGGTGTGGGCGACGGATATGCGGCACTACCGAAGGACGATTGGCTCATTTAGCTAAGCTGTACCACAAAATTAAAGCTGTCACGCTGCACTCGACGACTACATATAATTTGCTTTGATTTTTGTTCCGGTAAATCCAATGGAAGAAATTTGTATTTCCAGCGATTTCGCTGGTATCCAGTTCTTGCACTTGAACTGCAGAATAGAAACACTTACATCGTTTGTTTCACTTTATAGTCGAGCGAAGCCGAAGCTACAGGCACGAGCATGTTGCCCCAAAGGATGCCGGCGCTGCACGAGAGCGCGTGCTTGGTAAGCACACTGAAAGCTCGGAGTCCGTTCTTGTAGCCTCGACTACGCTTGTAGTTAAAGTGAAACGTTGACAGGGCGAAGAAAAAGAAAAGGTGACAACATGGTAGCTGCGTTCGACCTCCGCGGATATTTATTTATTCCAGGAGACAGCGAGTATTGCTGCAATCGTCCCTGGCGTGTTCAGACAGCAATGCGATTATGTGTGCTCCTTCTGCTGGCACTCTTGCTCTGGAGCGTGCCGGTGGCTGGAAAAGGGCAATACACGTTTCAGGGGCAGGACGCGACGCCCGCCGAAACGGAGGCCCACATAACAGCCCAGGAGAGCGTCGTTTACGTAGGTGAGTCTGTCAACTTCACCTGCAGCACCAAATCCAGAGACATACCCAAGCACGTGGCCTGGCTCATGTATGAGGAAGATATGAGTGCGGCGAGCTTCGTCACCATAACCACTTCCGAAGGTCCCGCCGGAAACGGTTTCGTCCTGTTCATTAGCACGCTCACGATCATCGAGGCCCTCTTCAACCATACGAGCATCATTCGTTGCAGGATCAAAGTAAACGCGCAGACGGTTCTTTATCTGAGCACGCCGCTGACAGTCTCGCAGAACACGACGCGGGACGGCAAGCGGATTGGAGATCAGTGCACGGCCAACGAGGAGTGCCCTCTGGAGCACAGCACCTGCAAACCGAACAACGCAGAATCTACTTCTGGAACCTGCCAGTGCGACACGGAGCACCCTGTCCTATCCAGTCGGAACGACGTGAGCTGTCTCCAGGCAGCTGACGTCGACCAACCGTGCGTGGACAGTGCTCAGTGTCAGTACAAGGACGACAGCTCGCAATGCGAGGACCAAGTGTGCCGCTGCAAGACAGGCTTTTCGCTCGAGCAGGGCAGATGTGAGGTCAAAATCGATGGTGCTTTGTGTCAGACCAGCAACGCTTGCTTGGATCCCAACGCGGAGTGTGTTGGTGGTCACTGCGTCTGCAGGACTGGTTTCGCATCTAATCCGAACACCAAGCTTTGTGATTTGAGCAGCGACCAAGAATTCCAGCTAGCTGTCGTTGGAGTGTCGTCCGTCGCCGTACTGTTAGTTTTAAGCGGGATCACAGCTGCTTGTTTTGTTCTAATCAGGCGAAAGAACGCGACCTCTTCTGGTCGCTACTGACACTTGTTTTGTGGCGCCTGTTGTCTTAAGATTTTAAGGGCAGTGCGCATACTTTAGTGTTACTTTTGTACGTGTCTACATGTATAGATGCGGCTCAGGCAACTGGTGACAACAATACAGAAGACGGTAATTCTCTAGAATGAATCAATGTGGGTTATCTGTATAAGACCTGTACAGCTATTTTTGAAATTACTGAGTAGTAATGGGCAAGGCTGACTTGCTTGAATACTGGGCCGTGTGCTTTAGCGGGCAACCTAACTTGCAAATGTCCTGTAGCACTCGACCCAGCAAAATGTATAATTTGTGATGGAGATCAAGCATCTTTAAAATAAAATGCTCGTATTTAAAAACCGAACCAAACAAACCAACGATCAACTAGATTTATAAAAAAAGAAAAGAAAAAAGTCCTCTGCATTATGAGTTTTCTTGACTATCAGTCTACGTTTAATTGTTTTATTAAAATGGCAATGCAACGATTTTTGTACTTTGCGCATATACTGCTTTGAATGAATCCTTGACGTTAATGACACATAAAACACGCGTTCGTTTTTCACCACACGCGAAAGAAGTCGCAAAAAAAGAATAATAAAAGAAAGAAAAAAGTTGGGGTTCCAATCCACGACGTGAAGGCGGTTGGCTAGCGAAGCTGTGGTATCACCTGCAACGACTGCCCACTGCATTCAAGTATCGTCACTGGGGGATACTGCGACCCCCGGGCTAAGAAGTCAAGTTTTACGAAGAAGAAATTGAAAGAAAAAGTTCGCTTTTGCCCTTGAAACAGTCCGATCTCATCAGTAAGTGTTCGGCGCATGCGTGACGCCACCATAACTTTAGTTCACAGGAGACAGACGGCCGGCATGCGAGGGCTCGTGCCTTTCATGCTCTACACGCGCAGAGCCCCAGCGGGGCTCTGCGCGTGTAGTCAAACTGGCCGGTGAGATCGGCCTGTTACACCGCAACAAAGGAGTTCCTTGGTGAGTGGCGTTGCGTGCGAGTATACGTGGGTCCCACTAGTGCAAGCGTATGCTCGTGTAAAGTGAAAAACCTTCCAAGCGAATATCGTTGCATAAACCCTTTAAGAGATAATATCGGCAATGTTGTGAGCATCAAATAAAGCTTCTCAATAGATCCCTTCACGAAATTCATTGCCATCTAGTGGTTCAAACATCAGTCTACATTTGTGTATGCTAATTGCGGTTAAAATCTAGGACCTATCAGGTCAACGGCGGACGTACGAAAGGTACGGCGTTCTTCGCTGTACAGTTATTTCTCTATTTTTTTTTTTTTTTTCAGTTTCAATGATGGCAGGAAACTACCACTTTGTTCGAGGCGCTTAATTGAGTAGAACGCTTGATAACATTCTTTACGTTTGACTGTCATGAGCTATTTGGGGCGTGCCGAAGCTGAGCATTGCAAGGATTTACAAGACATCCTCAAAAGCGTAGCGCATAGAAGCTTGTGCGACTCGTCACGATGACATCAGACAACGACACATCGAACGTCTGGAACGTTTAGGCGCCCGTCTTCCTTCACCAGCTATCAAAGGCCGCCATTAACATGTACAGATAATATACACTTAGATGATTACAGTTATCGAAGTGACCATGCTAAATTTCGGAAAGGGTCTATTGCCATTATATTGAAAGCATGCCTTCTGAAATAAATATAGTTTTTCACATTCCGTGCATTTTACTGGCTTACAGACGTTTTCTGTTTCCTGTTGTTCCCAGTCACGTTGGTTCCGTATCTGGTATGCGGGATGAGAAATAATAAAGGATTTCAGCCTGGAATGTGCGAAAAAATATAGGTGATGCAAAACAAGAATGTGTTACAATCACACATTTTTTTTTTTTTTTTGTGAACACCTTCCAGCGGCATGGAAAGATCAAAACGATGTTTTAACGAATGCCAGAAGTGACGAAATTCAAGAAATTCAAGATGGCTGCGCCATTGTGGAAAAGATGTATTCGCGACTCCAGCGACCTATAGGGGGCGCCCCCACCAAACAAACATGGCGGCTGAGTCCAGGTCGCGTTGGCTCGGCCGGGCCGCCTGAACAGGTGGTGCGTTCAATTTAACAGATTTTCTTTTGTTTAATGCCCAATTTTATAGGTATTTGAACTGAGACGGTTAAGTGTAGCCGGTGCAGATAACTTGCAAAGCATAGTTTTGTTTTGCCGGTGTTTTTTTTTTTTTTTTTTTGTTCTTTTCGTGTCAAACTTTCGTTTCGGAGATTTCGTTCAAAACCGAAACTATGGGCTCCGGAGATACGGTAATATACTAATCAGTTTTGATCTTCTAAGGAAAGCGGCGATGACTATAGAATTGTTCCACAGAGAGTAACTTTACGGCTAACTCGCATGCCTCTACCATGCGACTTATCTGTCCGCGAAATCGAGCTTTTGTGCGTATCCGCGTTTACGAAACAGCTCCAGTCTGCTCGGCCAACAACACAGGCTGCAGGAAAATTACGAAAATTAAGCAACCGCTTCTTGAGCCAAGGACCATGTTAACCCGCCGGTGCCCCACTAAGCAGCTGATACTCGTATTTCAATTCAGGTTTTAGTAGCAATGGAGAAGTCATTTTGACGAGCGGGTTATGTATTATATTACATACTATGGGGGGGGGGGGGGGGGGGGGTCCCAAAAAGCGATATTAGTATATCCTTCGGGTTGAAATACGAGCTTAGCTGCTGAATAAAGGTATATTTGACAGACGGAGACGTACTACTTCAACTTAGCCAAATGGTTCTATAGCCGGCAGCACAAGGACAAACTGAAGAGAGTCTTCATTGAAGATCCGCGCATAACCTCTCTGTATTGAACGGAGAAAATTAGTATTTTTTTGTGGCCGGTCAACCTGACCAATGTAGACGTATATTGCTGCTGGCTTCGACGTCCTCGTAATATAAATATTGAAGGCGCGATAGGTCAAAATGCCGTGACAGCATCTAACGTTGCGAGACTTGTCTCCCACCTTTTGAAAACAGATAATTTCCCTCATTCATCATTTGCAGTGAGCAAGTTTTCCTGAATCAAGTAATTGCGAAATCAGCCCAACTCCTTCAGTGTGGTCCAGAGGCTTTTTCGGCGAAAAGCAGCCAAGATGAATAGCCAACGCACCGACCGGCGTGGGTGGCTCAAACTTGAAGCTAACCGAACACAACCAAACTCAAGAAAAGCAGCTATCGAACCTTCCCATTCACTTGACTGCAACATTGATGTTCCCTCCAGTATCAGTTACCAAGCAGTTGTCACTTTGAATGTGATTCGAGACAGACAAGAAATCAAAACGTTTTTCCGAGATTCCTCCCCATCCAAGAAATCGAAAGCACGCGACCGTGTGCTGGGGAGTAAACGGGCTTTCAAACACGTAATAGAAGAAAACAATCTACTGAGGCTTCACCACACTAATGATCACTCAGGCAAACTGAAGAAATATTCGGACCTTCGTCAAATTACATCGTTCGCCACCGCGCCGACAACACGTCTCCGCGAAAGCCACCAGAGACGTGGAGGGGCGCGGAGCGACCTGGACCGGCTGGTTCCCGGTTTTCCCGCTTGGCGGCGTCCGTTTCGCTGGAGTCGCGAATAGCTATGGATGGTCCTACCACGGTGTTCAAAGTGACTCTTTGACATAAATTAAGTAACTGTAACCAGTAACAAAATACATGTTTATCAGATCGCAGCTTATCGATATCATATACACAGTTACATAACGTTTGTTGTTTTTACAACAACCTTATTATGATTCGCCGTCTCCTCCCACGTGATCCTTGATGAAGTGGCATGAGCGTGAAGACGGCTCTTATCGTCGCCATGATAACCATGGGTAGCAGGGTAATTGCGCTGAAGATCACCAAACCAATAAGGAAGAGCTTCTTAAAGTTCAGACCCTCGCCTTCCCTGAGTAGCGAGCACTTGTTCCCGTCGTACACACGTCCTGGGAAACACTGGCACGTGTGGTTGGCGCAGTACGAATGCTCCACGAGGCACATAAACTCGCCGCTACAGGCGCCAAAGAGACTGACTTCCTTGATGCACTTGCCGATCCGGTACTCGTTGCTGAAAGGCGACTTGCAGGAGCACCTCCGGTTGTGACAGTGCGCGTTTCTGTCCCACTCCAGGCAGTCCTGGTTGCTAGAACAGGGCGAGCCGATGCCACCATAGTGCGCGGCGCAGTTAGCCCGCAGCTGAGAGTAGTGGCGGTAGCCTCTCTTGCAAAGACACTTGGACACTCGGGTCCTGAGGTCGACAGAGCAGCTCGAGTTGCCGTCCACGCAAACAGTGTCTCGGGTGCAGGACGAGTTGTAAGACGCGTGCAGCAAGTCATCTTCGGAGGTGACCACGTAAGCGGACGAGACCGTGAGGCCGGTGCCTCTGATGAAGACCGAGCAGGTGACGATGCCTGTCTTTGGCTGGTAGGCGCGGATCTCAAGGACGCTGTAGGCGAGCGCTTCGGTATCCAGGGTACGTTCCACACTGAGGCCGCTTACCTGGATGGACAGGGCCGAAGCAGCGGTGGTGTTCACGTGCTCGTTGTCAACGTACCATCGGAAACTAGGATCGGCTGAAAAGGGCGCCGAACAGGTGTACTTGGTCACGACGCCTGATAGGACTTGCGGATTTGACGTGGTCAGTCGGATGTCCTGTGGCCGTATGCAGCGAGCAATGATCAGTATAAAGGGACACAGATAGAAATGGTTCATTTGTGGGATAATTGCCTGAGTATTAGATTTTTGGAGAGCTATTTGAATATGTTGTACAGAAACATTCGACCATGCTAAAAAGCACGATGACATGTTTCTTCTTTTTTTATACGTGCTTTGGTCAGGTCCTGATCTTTCATTGAACCATTCATTAGGTATTCGCCAAAAAGGATAAAAAATAAAAACTACCATTCACGGTCGTGCCGTATTCTAGTACACTGTGGTCGTACTTGGTACCTGGACAATTGGAACGGGGTATATTTGTGTCACCTGTGGCCATCTGAAAAAGAAAGACGCTGGCGCGGCCTAGTGCGCGCGAGGGGGGAACTCTCGATTGCTGGGCACGTTCTGATAAAGGTGTGCTTTTTCTCTGTCCAGCCTCTAGTCCGGCCTATAGTGTCACTGACTCCAGTCCAACCCGTCTTGTCCTGCAGTAATGTTTGGAGGTGGGCTAGTCGGTGATGCATTGTGAACTTGTCTTGTGTTCGTTTGCGCTGTTTTATTTCTATGTTCACAATCCGTCTAGTCCTCTTTGCGCGAACTATTTGTGCGTTGCGAAAGAACAATGAGAGTGTGGAAGGTGTTTCTAGCCCATTCTTAGGCGGTAACGGACAAAATTAAATGCATCATGATGACTACGGCGATTATCATGGTCATATCAAAAGATATATTGTTCAGGCTCGCCTAGGAGCTGTACAAGAGGGATAGAGAAAAAAGTCATCTTCCGGAACAGATTTTCTCACAAGGTATAAAAACACCAAGGGACCTGTCATGTCTTTTGCGGTCCACTTCAACTGGACGAGCAAAAGATGTAAATTGATCGTTTTTTTTTATCAGCATATACCTCAAGTCATGCATGACCGCACAAAAAAAAAATGCAAAGGTAAGTTGAATACATGCGAGATATTTATGATCACGTTGGGGGGTATGAATGGAGCCTGAGAGAAAATCCCGTGGAAAATAAATTTCGAGAAATGCGAAAATAGAAGCACTTAGCATATTTCGTGTTTGTTGATTATATTCCAGATCTCAACGTATATTACATATTGCACACAAGACTTATGCGTACTTCACCTTATCACAATCGGAATGCCACACAAGGTGTCATCGTCCAGAGGACTACGGCATCAAGCAGGTATAAGAGCGTTTATTGAATTGAATTGAAGTTTTGAAGTTTATTAGACATATGAAATGCCGGGGAGGGAGGAGCAAAAGGTTGCCGATGCTACCTGACGAGGCTCCATTCCCCTTTTCGGCGCTACAGCAGTCGCAGCAGCAGTGTGGAAGTCGTAATAAAATTCAAGGTGAAAATATTTTCACAGAAACGGTTTTGACATAAATTAAACACAAACAAAACACAAATTAAACACAAACTAAACACAAACCAGACACAAACTGGGATGATTTGCCTTAAATCGATTCATAAATGAATCCATAAAATAGTAATCATCTGAATCTGGAGAGCAAGAAGCAGCGGCCCAATATTTAAGCCGAGAGCGTAAAAATGTACTCTTTTATTTCCTTTTTAAATCTCCGCAAAGAAGAACAGCAATTTATAAAATCTAATACTTCTGAAAATTTGTTTAAATATTCCGGAATCAAAAAGCTCAATTTCTGTGACCCGTAATTTGTGCGAATTCTCTCCTGAAGGAATAACTCATGCCGTAAATTATATGTCGTAATTTTCCTTGGATACAAATCTATAGACAAGGACCCGCTGTTTTTTATCTCTTTATAAATTAATAAGGCTAATTTGAAGTTATATTGTTGCTGAATTGTAAAAATCTTGTGTTTGGAGATTGACTGCTGTCGGCCGCTGAACGCGAAGCGCATGCTGCGACCGTACAAAATACATCACATTATATTGCAGTTGACGTAGAAGGCGCCCTGGAACTGTTCCTTGAGGTTGTACTTTTTCTCGCAGAAGATCACGGCGCCGGCGAGGAAGAGTACTGCGCAGCTAATAACAGCCAGCGCCGCGTAGAGTACGATTTTAGTGAAGAGTCCAGACGTGGTGACGACGTTGCATTCGCCATTCGGGTCATCGTTACCCGCGTTTTCAACGCACACGCACTGACCGTCCTTACACTCGAGACTCGGGACACGACAGACGGACTGCAGCCCGCAGCGGCTCCCGAGTCCCACAGACTTCATGCAAGTCGTGTCGTTAAGGTAGTAGCCTGGAGCACAGATGCACCTCCCTTCGTGGCACAGAGATACGAGATCCACACTGGCGCACTGTTCGTCGTCATCGCACGGTGCATCTCGAAGTTTAGACACGACGCCGAAAGTGACGATTCTTCCGTACCGCATGGATCGCCACGGTAGTTTTGTGGACGGAATCAGCACGTTGTCGTTGTTCACAACGTCGAGTTGTATCTGGAGGGTTTGCTCGAGAGAACCTCCACTGAAAACGTGGCAGCTGTAGTTACCCGCGTGCGCTTTTTTAGAGAGTCCCATGTCTAAGACGCTGTACGAAATGTTACTCGGCTGGAGGTGTCCGTTCGTAATTTTGTATGTGTAGAGGCCGTCTTGAAGTGTAGGGTCCGGTGGAATTTCGAACGAATTAAAGTGCCAGGTGAAAGTTGCTGCGTCGTCGCTGATGGGCTTGTAGCATAGGAAGCGTAATTGCTCGCCCACCGTCTGCGTTACCTTGCTGTTCGACGGAGGAAGGGTGACGGCTCGGTCTTGGGAGAGGACGACGTGGCTTGCAACAAGAAATCCCGTGCTTGCGAGTGCTATCAGCGTGAGACAGTATAGGGAGTATTCATTGGACGCCATATTTGTGGTAGCTCTTTAGAGCGCATGCTCAGAGCGAGCTTTCATTAAGAGGCTGTTAAGACCGACAATCTTGATGGTGCGGAATGCACGTTGCAGAAGAACTGTGGAAGCTCGGCGTCAGCACGCGCTCAGCAGTCGCGCACACAGCTATGGCCGCCAGTGAATACTCCCTATAGAAGACGCATCATTTCAATCTTCAACTTTCTTTAATAGAAGGTGTGAGTGATAGCACTTTTTTTACAGCGAAGGTGTGTATGACTCGTTGACCGAATTTTTTCGTGTCGCCATCCCCTCGAAAAAGAAAAAAAAACAAAAAACAAACACAAAAAAGCAACCTTTAGCGGTTGAAGCGGAAAGTGCATACATCGCCCATACAACATACAACACAGCATTCGTTTCAATAATAAACAAGCACAAAGCAAGCATCATGTTTCAAAAGTAGCGCAAGGTGCGTCGATGCACGAGGCACGGGCAACGTGCAACCCTTGGGAAGATCATGGTGGCATAGCGCAGCACTGAGCTGGATTTCAGACACCATGTTCTTCCCAGAAGTGGCGAGCGGCACGTGTCTTGAGCATGTCCACAACAATGAATGGCGCCACTTTTCCCAGTATGAGGGACTTTAGATAATTCATGATAAAGCACTCCTGATAACAATGCGAAGTACGTAGAGCTCGCCGCATGCGTTTGCAGTAAAGATCACTGTTGCGCAAACTGCCGCGGTGACGGCAGCTTGCAACGTGGAGAGTAACGTCACCAGCCTCTCATATATAAAATAGCCCGCCTATAGACCTTTGCATCGTCTATCACCCGGGCGAAAAATGCTGAGTCTCTGAGCTGTGGACGCAAGCACAGCGTCTTATATACCCCACAGCAGAGCAACAGCGCATGCTCAGAAGGCGTTGCACAGCCCAGCAGAAGATGGCAGCGCAAAGAAGGCGAATTTTGCAAAGGTCTGTACTCCGTTTCACCTTACGTCCGGACGCAGCGGACGGTAGTAGCTATCCTAGCCAATCCGGTTTTGTGGACGTAGCCCGTGATACGCTTTCCGTGCCTCACTGTGCCCCCTCTCTAAGGTCTCGTGACACTTACGCGGCCTTGGATTGTCTCCGATGGCTCGTAACATGCGCTGCGCTTGGACGTATAGGTAAGACAGGGTATAGCAATTGATATCATTTTTGCTACAGCACCGCTGTGGGTAGGCCACGCATAGTTCGGACTCCCGAGGAGTAGCGTGAGTACGAGGAGCGGTAAAGGGAAAAGAAACGGCACTACGACCAGCGGCGGCGTGCTGCGTCCTACAGCGCGGCATTTGGTATAGTGCAGTGGGCAATCGTTGCAGGTGATACCACAGCTTCGCTGGCCAACCACTTTTACAGCGTGGATTGGAGCCGAATTGTTTAATAGAAATAAGAATACAAAAACATGCGCACTAATATTTTCGCCATAGTTTTCATAATGTTTGAGATTTTAATAAATACAATAAAAATTTCACCATAGTGTTTTTTTGTTTTTTCTTCTCTTTTCTGCTTTATGTCCGAGCAAAGCAAAAGCTGCAAGTACAAGAATGGGAGAAAGGGGGGGGATCGGCAGCCGAGGACTTCGAAGAAGACGACGAGCTGAACGGGAGCGTTGGAAATGAACTCCGTCAAGGAAATCTCAACACTCTAGACATAGTATCAATTCTGCTAGTGCTCCTTCTGGGTCAAACACCACGGAATACAATAATCTTCTGCCCCCTCCACCGAACAGTAAGCTACTGGAAAACTCACTGATTCTCCACGAAGATCCATCGGTCAGACCTTACCGCACTGGCGATTTCGGTCGTGCTTTAAGAAGAGAATTAGCCCAAAGCAACGATCGACCCTCGGTGCCTTCCCATACAGCACGTACGGCTGCTCACAGTGCGTTCTGCCAAGAAGAAAGAAAGATTACTACAACTTCGGTTAATTCATGTAAAAAAAAAAACAAAGAACAAACGATTATTGACGAAAGTAGAACTGCATTATCCATGAAGGTGCACTGGATCCCAGCAAGCGTCCCAGCCAGCGCTTTTAATGCTTATGGTAAAGTAAAGAGTGTCCTTCGTGACAAATGACACTACTTTGGCTACGAAGAGGTAGAGACGACCACAAGAGTAGTATCATTCGAATTAAACAAAGGACTGACCGTGGAAAACTTGCCACACAAGCTCAAAATTCTAGAAACCCCTTTTCTTG